TTTCGAAAAATTTCTTCTTAGTGTACATTCTGTTGACGTACCCTATTAAAACGCAAAAAACCGCATCTAAAATAGTATAAATAGAAGCAGAGTTCTTTACGGTAAGCCTTAATCCTAACCATCTTCCTTCAGTGGGGGGAATTTCGACACGTATATTATATAAAAGCACATGCGTATTCGAATGCAGCGTTGTCAACATTTCAAAGGAATCGGTTGGAACAAACGGACATTACATTTTTATTTATATAGATAGATAGATGATGATCTGCTTTAGTTCATTTTCACAGAAAAGCGTAATGCCTCACAGAAAAGCAAACTTGGGCGTCGTACTCGTAGCGCCATCTGTTGGACACAAAAGCCTTAACCTAGATTATATATTTTAATTTATATGAATGTTTAACGGAATAATATACAGCCTATGTCCACCCTGAGGTTCCATTCTAAATATTGGTGAAAGAATTTCTGAAATCGGTTGAGTAGTTTCGGAGATTACCTGCTGCAAACAAACTTACATACATACATACATACATACATACATACATACCTGTTTAATCTATACTAATATTATAAAGAGGTAATCCGTCCGCGTAGCGGTATGCCAAAAACGGGCACTAGAAGCGCCCTAGCGAAGATTTTAAATTAACAATAAATTATTTTTATTTGTAATAGGAATTTATTATTGATATGAATTTATTATTTATACCACGGAATGGTATAAATAATTATTATATGCCTTGATTAACCTTGCGCCACACGTTTACAACATCTCGTGACTCAGTGAACGTCACGCATTGACTCACGGGAAATTTGTTGAAAAAATGGTGGATACATTTAAAATCGAGGTTTACAAGCGAATATAAATAAACAAATTAAACTATTTTAAAGTATTTATAGAATGTTTAATAGGTAGAAATATAGATCCGTATGACGCGATTAGGATGGTAAGATTCACCCTCCGAATGAAGGGGTGGCGAACCCCTCTGTGCGAACAATAAATGTCTAATGAACCATATCCCTACGCGCGACCCTTCCCGAGATATCGCCCTCCGAAAATTATTCTACTGGTCACGTGACCGCCTGTTTTCCACAACTTACTCTGCAAATGAGCGGGTCGGCGATTCCCGAGTGTGCGCGAGCGCGCGTTACCTTTTTTTCGCTCGGTAGGCTTCCTTTTGACCACGGTGTCACGTGACCGGAAATGACGTAGGCGAATTTTCAGGGGCTTATATCTCGCGAAGGGTCGTGCGTACGGGTATGGTTCCTTTGACTTTATTGTTCGCGCAGGGGGCTACAGTTTGAGGAGTCGCCACCCCTTCATTCGGAGGGTAAATCTTACATTTGGAACTTTAACGGAGCTGTAGAGCATATTGATAGGAACAAAAAAGTCAAAGGAACCGTCCATCATGGAAATTTGTAAAGAACGCCCACTAGGGGGCGTCCCGGGCTACTAGTTTTATAATAATTAATAATCTATACTACTATACTATATAAAGAGACAACGTATTTTTCGTTTGTGACCACTAACCGTGAAAACTACTGAACCAATCGTTACCAAATTTTAACTGTAGCATCTTTATGACCCCCGGAATGTTTACCACTAATCAAACCTGCAGATTTTTTATTAATTAAATAAAACTACAATGGATTTTTGTCTAGGGTTAAGGCTTTTATGTCCAACAGATGGCGCTACGAGTATGACTCCCTAAGTTTGCTTTTCTGTGAAAATGAACTAAAGCAGATCATCTATCTATCTATATAAATAAAAATGTAATGTTCGTTTGTTCCTACCAATTCTTTTGAAATTTTCACACAATTCGAATACGCACGTGTTTTTATATAATATACATGTTGAAATTCCCCCCACTGGGTGGAGATGAACAGGATTAAGGCTTACTGTAAAGAACTCTGCTTCTATTTCTACTATTTTAGATGCGGGTTTTTGCGTTTTTGATTGCGTTTTAATAGGATACGTCAACAGAATGTACACTAAGAAGGGATTTTTCGAAAAATTTCCTTCCACACGGGGGAAGTGTTATACATTTATAATAGATACATTTTGAGCCACAACAACGCGTGGCGGGGTCTGCTAGTATAGAATGTTTTTAATTATTAAATATCATAACAGGTGGCGGCACACACAATTAAATGTTGCCCATTAAGGTAAGAAACTCGTTGCTGGATTTTTTAAATGAAGTATTACATAAAATTTAATAAAAGCATTTTTAATTAATCAATATGATCATAGTTGAAGTTTGATTACCAGAGAAGATTTCTGAAAAATTTATTGTAATTTTACTAAATGTGTACACTACAAATAATTAAAGAAGAGAATTTATATATTTTAAAACATTTAACATAGAGAATGGAAATTTTAATCACTGTATGAAATACTTTGAATATGAATTTGTCTGATATTTATGATCGTTTTATTCTTTCCATTTAGCTAATTTTCATCTTGAAAATACAGAAAACGGAAACTAATAAAGGAGAAGAAGAACGAAATAGAATCCTGCAAGAATGAAATCCATTATTCACTCTTAAGAATTTTTGTATTTTACAGGCTTGAACGTTGCGAATTCCTCTTTTTATGAAGGAAGTATTTTTTTTTTAAATTCAATACAGTATTCGTTTTATTCGAATTTAACATATTATGCAATTATATGTTTACCAGTACGAATGAACAGGATTACGAATAAAAAACATTCTTATGTTAAAGTCAAATTAAATTAAATTTTATAAAATTTATTTCATGTTTGTTGTTATTTTCTTGCAGTTGTTCTTTGGATGAAACACAAAGATTAGAAGAAAATATTTTCCAAGATTAAAGAAAAAAATTGTATATTAATTACTTACATCGATGCTTTTCATTGCAATATATAATTGAAGGAGCAGGAGAGAGAGCTATTTTAAGGAATAAGGATCAATGGAAAAGCATGAAGATATAAAAGCACTTTTAAAATGTTTTACAGGAATTGTTTACTTTAATATGTCAGCCTTGATTAGTTGTGTTTGAAAATAATATTAGTAATATGATATATTTATACTCGAACTTTGTCATCAGTAAAATTAGTTTTTTGGTTTGATACAGAAATGTGCTTTTCGATATAAAAATTTTATTTTTAGTTAAATATTATTACTGGTTCTTTATTGCTTCTATTGAAGAAAATTAATTTATTACACACAAATAAAATATTATTTAAAATAATTTTTTTAATTGCAGATAAAAGGAACCGAAAGAAATTTTCATGTAAACACTATAAGAAGAATTTCAAAACGAAACAACAGTTGAAAACTCATGAAAGAATGCATACAGGAGAAAAGCCTTACACTTGTGACGAATGTAAACAGAAGTTTACACAAAGGGGAAACTTAATTACACACCTTCGGACCCATACAGGAGAAAAGCCGTACATTTGTGATGAATGTAAACAGAAGTTTACACAAAAGGCGCACTTAATTACACACCTTAGGACCCATACAGGAGAAAAGCCTTACACTTGTGACGAATGTAAACAGAAGTTTACACACAAGGGAAACTTAATTAAACACCGTCGGACCCATACGGGAGAAAAGCCTTACATTTGTGATGAATGTGAACAAAAGTTTACACAAAAGGAGCACTTAATTACACACCTTAGGACCCATACAGGAGAAAAGCCTTACACTTGTGATGAATGTAAACAGAAGTTTACACACAGGACAACCTTAATTACACATCTTAGGACCCATACGAGAGAAAAGCCTTACACTTGTGACGAGTGTAAACAGAAGTTTACACAAAGGGGAAACTTAATTAAACACCTTCTGACCCATACAGGAGAAAAGCCTTACACTTGTGACGAGTGTAAACAGAAGTTTACACAAAGAGGAAACTTAATTAAACACCTTCGGACCCATACAGGAGAAAAGCCTTATATTTGTGATGAATGTAAACGGAAGTTTACACGAAGGGACAACTTAATTAAACACATTCAGACCCATACAGGAAAAAAGCCTTACTCTTCTGATGAGTGTAAATAGAAGTTTACACGAAAGGATAGCTTAATTAAACACCTTCGAATCCATTCCGGAGAAAAACATTATGAATGTCAATTATGTTCAGAGAAATTCATTTGAAACATAGTCTTGAAAAAACATTACAATATTCATACTCAGATGTAATTTCCTTCAAATATAATCCTATAACAAAACTATTTTGTTGATCGACAGAACTCTGTATTTATTATCACACGAGGTGTTAACAAAATTTAAAGATTTCGAATATGCTGAAATTATCTGTTTGCAAATTTTTGCTCGAATACACCGAACAGTGTTTATGTATAAGTTTGTTGGAAACACGCTTTTATCTTAATGAATTTCATTATCATAACTTCATATCAATTCCCGAATTGTTAGTATGTAATTAAAATGTTATGTAAAACGTTCTCGAATAAAGAATTGTTCCATCGACACTTGTCCGTATTAATTTATTCGATCTAATTACGACAATGCATATTTCGGTCTGATCCTTAATACAGGAAATTTTTGTTAGTTCGTAACTGTACTTTTGTTTCGGCTGTGGATATAATAAGATTCACATGTTAAGGAATTCGGTTAGTTCGAAATTCGAAGTAAAAATTCTGCCCGAGCGATGATATGTGTAAGTTAACTCGTTCGTTACGATAATTTTTTTTTAACTATTTTTATCTGATTGCACGCTTGAAGCTATAAATAAATTTCCGCAGAAATATGACGAGATTTAAAGTTTTGTTTGTAAAGATTTTATCTTCATAATACTTGCCACTTAACCTAACCTATTTGTATTTTTAGTGAATTAAAAACAGTGTTATTATTTTAAAAAAGCAACACGTTAAAATAATAGTTTTTTAAATTGATAACTTTCTATGGAAATGAGAAGTAACATAAAGATTTGATTCTTATTTAAAACTGGCGTGGTAATTGCATTTAGAAACCTGCCCAATGTCCAGCTATTTCTAACTTGAAATAATTTGAACTGAATATGGACAATTATATATACATTTTCGACAAAAAAAAAACGTTCATTTTAAATTAAATAACTTGCTGTTACGCACATATATTTTATATTCATAAGCAAAAATATATTTTTTTACTACACTGTGTGTACGTTTATATATTACAATGAAAAATTCGTATAATTAATTTTAAAATGTCTTAATTCCGACATGTACACTTATTGTATATGCGCTTGCTTAGAAAATAATTTATTCAATATCCTTGTAAAATTTTCGCGGCTCACCAATAAAAATCACTGTCTTATTGTATTAAGGCACTTCCATCTATACCAATGATTTTCAACCGGTGTGCCGCAAAAATTTGCCGAGTTATTTTTACTTACTCCGAAGAAGACCCCCCCCCGAATAATAATAACTTCAAATAAAGTATCGAAACTTATTCAGAGGAAAATAGAAATATTTTTAGGTAACAATTCTGCTCTAATAGGTATATTAGAGCAGAATTGTTTAATATTTGTTACATTATTTATCGTCTTACTCTTGATCACATATGATGAATAAAAATATTGTGATAAGATCAGTTACAAGATTTATAAAAAGAAAACTATATTGTTTTTTATATCAAACAACATTTTTTAGATGAAATTAAAATTTTTACGGTTTAAATACAGTGTGAATGCCCGTACAACATAAGTTGCCTTATCCATTTATAGACGATTAACAGTGTCTTTAAACTAGTAAAAGCACTGCTTTATGTTTTGGTTGTCACTTTGCAGATCATCAGACTGTCTTTGTTTTTGGACTTTAATCTAATCGAAGTTGAACAACCAGTGCAGAAATGTCTGTCCGTCAATTCAAAGGGAAAAATCCCAATCCGGGATGAAATGTCAAGTCCAATAAATTAAGTCGTAGCCGGGTGACAAAGTCGTATTCGGGTGGCAGAGTCATATCCGGTGAAAAGTGGACGTGGGTGGAAGTGACCTGGAAAGAGAAAAAATTCATTTTATGCAGCAGAAGAAGAGCTTTTTCCATCAAGGTTTCTTCTGCTTGACGGATGTTTCCACGATCACTTTGGACTCCCCTCGACACTCCACCGTCCATTCTGCAACTTCCGGATATCGCAGTACCAAGGTAGTCGACCACAGTCGAGGCGCTATCGTCAGGAGTAATGATAACCACCCGTTTGACGCACTCTCCGCTCTTCTCGACATCTTTCGGAAGCACCCGAATCACTGGAAACGAAGCGGAAGACGACGACGAGCCTTCCTCCTCCTCACCATCTGCCGAGGTGCGCCACTTCTTTAATTCCTTGAAATTATCCATTCTGCAGTGGCGTGCCGTGACATTTGATGATAGGAAAGCTGTGTTTCTGTAAGATGACTTTTAGGGGCAATCAGATACTTCTTTAAATGTATTTTTAATAGATTATTTATCTGACGTAATTAATAAATAAACAAGTTCAATATAATTACCTCTGTTATTAGATTCAATAGATTCCCTATGCCGATTCTTGCTTTGATAAAAACATATAACATCTATCAATATTAATTTAAATATATCTATTAGCCGTAACTATCTCGTTATAATTTTCAATATTTATTTCATATTTACTAATGTTAAATTCTATTCCGCTTCAAATACGAAAGAATCGACGATTTTTCGTGTCTTTTGGAAGCTAAATTGTCAAAGCCATTCTTATTCCACACACTAATTTCATTTGAAAATAGTAGGCAAGCCAACAAAACAATTTTTGCATTTTTATGCATTTACAGAGCCATTTTATCGTGAAAATGTCGAACAAATTTTTTTATTGAAGCGTTTATATTTAACTTAGGCATTGGCCTTTCTCTTTTAATAATGTTTTCTTTTTCATTATATGATCTCGAGCCAAAACTTTTTTAAAATAAATTTTCAATATCGCAATTACATTCCGAATCGCTAGCCACGATATAAGGGCTAAAATTAAAAATAAAATTATAAAAACTTACTCGGTGAAATAAAATGTGTGATGGATATACATACCTGATACAAAACCTTCTTCAATTGTATGAATATACTTTTAAAGAAAATTATAATTAAATATAACTTTGTAATGAAACGTACGTAATAATAACATAAAATATTCTTTACTTTTTAAATCTTAACCACTTAGTCAAATAGCTCCCTACGAGTGGAATCAGAGACAGTCCTGCTAGGTGTGCGGCGCGTGCATGCACGCGGGCTGCCAAATCCCCAGGGTGCCCATACCGGTCAATGTTAAATGCCTCTTTTGTCGCATCATTAGTATAACTAAAACGACGCGACAGGGTTGTTGTACATTTTAAACGTTTCTCACCGTAGCTGTAAAAATCTAAATTTGTTAAACTTAATAGCCATTTGTTTTCTAACTAATTATTTTTAGGACCAGGTGTACACGAAAATTTCCAAAATTTACAACTTTTCGGTCACTCTCGTTGAACTAGAAACATTTCTGTTTATATTACGTCTAATATTACGAAGAAATCAGTCCCACTGTACACGGCTAGAGATTGGGTCGGTTAAACTTTTAAGTAACATTCCGGCTCTTTCGGCAAGGTTTTATTTATGTCCCTAATTCCCTAATCTCTTAATTATTTAACTAGTTCTTAAGTAGAAATAAGTCGAAACCGTTTACTTTGTACTCGAATATTTGTAGTCTCGGGAAAGAAGTAGAAAGACAAATTTTTATGACAAACGGATACATAAATCGTAAATTTAAGGAAAATAAATTATAGAGCTTTTTCTGTACCTGGTGCATCTCTCTCATTCATTAAATTTAGTTGTAAATGACGCTGTCAAAGTAACGGTTAATTTTTTAACATTATGCAAGAATTGTACACGTTTTTTACATCCCCTTAAAGATGGGACATACGACATTGTAATATCACCGGTTTAACATTTAAATCCGCGAGTAATATAAAATCGGAGAGCGGAATAAATATATCAAATATTTTAACGGATTTTTTAAAACTCCTGTCAACTATACAGAAAGCTATCATAAAAACACACAGGTAAATTCTTATCGGTTGGGTTAAATTATAAATCTACTCGTGATTTGCGTAATCGAACGAGGGCGGCCAAATATCTAGCGGGCGGGCGGCTAATGGCCCGGAACCGGTACTGGATACAATTGGAAGCGTTATATATGTAGCATCCACCCGAGATCCTAGGCTTCCACCGGCTAAACCGGGTGAGGTTGGTGCTCTGTAAAGCGCGTGCGCGAATCTGACTCTTTGGAAGTTGGCGATTAAATTAATTAAAAGGTTTTGTTGGACGTCCGAAGAAGAGAGGGGGTTACGGAAACTTGGACAAACTGGGACCAGAGAGGGAGGGCGAGTAAAAATTTCAAGAAAAATATGGACATAATTTATGGACAGCCCCATAGCGTTCGAGCATATCCTAACTCTATGTGCAGAGCCGTAACTAGCCAGGTGCAACAGGTGCACCCGCACAGGGCCCACTTGGAAGGGGGGCCCAAACTGCTGTTCACAAGAAATTATTAAATTTTAAATTTTTCCACCTTTCTACAGCGCAGTTTGGCAATTACATTTCGCCTTACTTAGACCCTAGATGTCGGCTCACCAGTGTTCCCAACTGTGGCGACTTTTAAAGGGACGTAGTGAGGTAGCGGAGACCTCAGACAAATCAGCCAAAAGTAGCGACTTTTGAGATTTTTTAATTAAGTTTTTTGAGAGATTTAAATTTATGTTTATAGTTTTCAAATTTACAGATTTTTCTCTACTTCATAGAGCTCTCTGGCAACTACTGATATTATTACGATATACAAAACTGTATTTCTACATTTTTCTAGTGTGCAGAGCTAGAAATCTGTAAAGGTAACATTTTGTAA